AGTACCACTTGATTTTTTTGAAATGGTGACCTATAATGGAAAACATCTTCATAGAAAATTATGTCACGGGAAACAAGATTCTCTTAGTATCAAGATCATAAACTCGATATCCTTTTTGACTTTGAAGATAACCAATAAATATACATTTGATAGATCCAGGAGAGAACTTACTTGTAAGTGGAGAATTATCCTTTGCATAACATAAACAACCAAAAACCTTGAGATGATTATATGAAGGGGCCTTACCAAAAAGAAGTTCATATGGTGTTTTACCATTAAGTAGTGGTGTAGGAGTTGATGAGATAAGCAACCGTGACAATGCATTCTCTCGAAAATGAAATCGGTAGGTTTGCTTGAAAGCATAATGCTTCAGCCACATTTAAAATATGTCTATGTTTCCTTTCTACCACCCCATTTTGTTGTGGGGTATATGCACATGAAGTTTGATACAATATTTCTTGTTCATGGAAGAATGCCTTCATAGGGTTAGAAAGAAATTCTTGTCCATTGTCATACCTTATTTGTTTAACCTGTTGCCCAAATTGTGTCCTAACCATATCGACAAACATGATTAAAATTTGAAAAGTTTTAGATTTATACTTCATGAGAAATACCCAAGTAGCACGAGTATAATCATCCACTATAGTAAGGAAATAATGTGCCCCTAAATGAGAAGGGGTTTGATATCTTCCCCAAATGTCACAATGCATTAAAGCAAAAGGTGACTCAACTCTTTTTTGACTAAGAGGAAAACTATTTCTTGTTTGTTTTGCTTTATGACAAGTATCACAACATTTAGGAAAGGAATTAAGATCAAAAGAAATATTTTTAGACAATAAAGAAAAATGATCAAATGAGGTATGTCCTAACCTTTGATGCCAAAGTTCCATAGAAGAGGATGAAATAATAGTATTTTTAATTTTGGCTTCTTTTACTGGCTTGAAATAATGAAGCCCATTATTCATTTCACACATTCCAATCAACTTCTTTGTGGTGATGTCTTGTAAAACACCAAAGGTTGTCAAAAATATAACAACTCAATTTAAATCCTTTGTTAACTTACTCATAGATATCAAATTGCATGTCAACTCAAGTACATACAAAACATTATCAATGGTGACATTAGGGGCTAAAGATACTTGTCCAATGCGATGTATAGGCACATGTTTCCCATTGGGAATTTTTGCATAATTATAAGTAGATAAAGGGTGCAATTCCTTGAATTTATTTTTATGACCAGTTACATGGTTAGATGCACCACTATCCAAAATCCAATCACCAAAGTTCACGGAACCCTTACTACAAACATCACCTAGTGAGGAATATGAGTTTAGGAAGTTCTTACAAGAGTCCAAAGGAGCTTTAGTAGCTTGAGAATTTGAATCATGCATGTTGCTCGTGGAACTGTCGAGAATTTTGGTTGCTTCACCTTTAGCCATGCTGCCACTATGTCGACAAAATTGGGCAACAAAAAAGAAGGAATGAGAGGGTCAAATTTGCTCTGATACCATGAGAAAATATATGTTTTCCATGTATTTATGAATGAAAAGCTTCAGTATTTATGTATAAGACAAGAGCAGACAAATGAATGAAATCTCATAAGCAAATCTATTTACAACGGTAAAATATAAAATGGAAAGTAATAAAAGCTAATGAGTATATGTTGAATTGGCAAGGATTAGGGGCCACGGCATTAAACTCAATGGCTAAAACTTTGATTTTGGTGCTGCAATGTAGTAGAAGATATCTTCTTCTTTTTTTTTTAACAGTAAAAAATAATATTTATTAATAAACGGAGTATAAGGGGTATCCCAAACCCATAAACATCATAACTTGAAAGGCATCATATTACATGAGTAGAATAACCTTCCATATGGTGTCGACCCCTGAATTATGTGTCAGCACCACGTCCATGTCGGAGTTTTGGATGTTTACCATATAGTATCGACCCCTGGATTATGTGTCAGTACCATGTAGTAGAAGATATCTATAACTCTAACACATAGATATTGAATTCTCTGCTTAGGTGGTGGCAAAAGTGGGCATGTTTTCACTCGCAAAAAATGATGTACATGTATACAATGTTTCTTTTATGAAATTGTTTGCAACATTAGAAGGGCATTTATTTATTTATTTTATTTTGGAGTAATTAAACTCTTTAAAAGAGTCATGCATGTGTATTAAGTATGCTTACATCTATTTCTTTTTTTGTTTTTGGTATATTTGATTATGGGTTATGTAAGTGGGGATAGCCTTCCCTTATTCCCAAATTCATCCCCACTCGATTAAAGACTAAAACTTAAGGTTTTCAACTTGAAGTTTTAAACTTTTAACTGTTAAGTCACCGTATTGAGGTTTCCACCTATTTTTTTTCATGACACTAAATATTAGTTTATAAGAAAAAGAAAAAAACACTATACTCATTATAATTTAAAAATTTTATCAATTAATTATTAAATAAAAAATATTGTAATGTATATCTATTTAGACAAAAAAAAATGGAGTTTTAACTTTAAAAACATCATCTAATGAATATTTTTAAAACTAACTATTGGATTTAGATTCTATCTATATAGATTATACATATCAATTTTCAAATTGATTGAATATCTCTAATTAGTTCATCAATTTACAAAATTTAATACCATTCAATATATATCATAAAATACAAGTTTGTTAATCAAATGATTATATATTAAATTAGCTTAAAAATTGACATGCATCATTTATATTAATAGAACATCATATCCAATGGTTGATTTTTGAAAATATTCATTAGAGGTGTGGAGCTTTTGAGATTAGATCTCTAATCTTCTAATGAAAATCGAAACTAATATATATTATTTCTATTAAACATCTATTTTATTTTATTGAAAAAAATAAGACAACTAACTTCAATAGACGGAGAGGAGGTATTTAACTTACTAAGTTTGAGCTGCATGCGTAGCAGTAAAAATATTTAAATAGTTATAAAATAAAATTCACTAAGAGATATTGTTATAGCTCAAATTGCATACAAATTAATTCAGACTAATTCAAATAATTATTCTCTCATTTCATTAAAAATAAAAAATTATGAGTTCAACTCATATAATATGTTAATGGAATCTGTTAAGGAATGTTTAGAAGATTTTTTCTCATTATATAATCTAAAATTAAAAAAAATTTTAAAAAAAAGAAGAAGAAAAATTCTCATTTACTTAAGTGACGCTTTTGTGTTTTTTGTGTACAATTGAGTAACGTGTATTAAGCCGCTGTTTGCTACATAATTATCCAATTTTTGTGCCCGACCTACTTAATTAGCCATTGGTAAGGCAGAAATCTTAAAATCCATTAGAAATTAATTCGAGTTCCCCAACATCTACAGTTTTAGTTCGACTTTACTTCTAAAAATAATTGTTAATAAGTTAGTTGTAATCGTGTCCCAAATACTTAGCTGCTCCTCAGTTTTATATGAAATAAACATTGTTCTCGTCTAACTTTGCAATTTCACTTACCACTGGATCAGAAAAACTCGTTCGAGTTAAGGTTGTGATACGATCAATACCTTTTCTTAATAAACTTTCACTAAACGTCTAAATATTAAAGTTAAAGAAAAATAACTGAAATTTTTTCTTATTCAATATATTTCAATAACGTTTACTGTTTTAATTATTAAAATTTATAATTTTATGTTTTTTTTTAATTTAAAATTAAATAATAATTTTTTAATAAATATATTATAAAATATGTTGTATTAAAGAGTATCTATCTCAATGTCCGAAACCAAAAATTAATAATATTCAATACCTAAATCTAATTATTTAATTAAATGAAAAACCCATTAATTAAATACTTTAAAATTTTTGCACATAATTCCCGCAAAAGCCACTGGAAATCATAGAATATTCTTGCCAAGTGTGAAAACTTCCTTTAATTATGAGCATTTAAAATTAGTTATTCAATTTAACAAAAAAAAAATTTAATTTTTTACTTTTACCCGTGTGAAATTATACAGTGGTTATAAAAAGATAATTACAAGACAGTAATTATTTGAGTAAATGATGATACCACTAGTAGTGATTAGCAGGCGGTAGATCATAGATGGCCGTAGGGCTTAAAATTAAAATAATAATAATAATAATAATAAAATATATATCAGTCTTAATTTTTAAAAATAATTAAAATTTTAATATTAAATTACGATATTTTATTTAATTTAAATTCAATTCAAATTTTAAAAAATTATCTTATTAAATATTGACATTTAATTAAATTTAAAAACTGATAAAATTTTTAATATTAAATTACGTTATTTTATTTAATTTAAATTCAATTCAAATTTTAAAAAATTATCTTATTAAATATTGATATTTAATTAAATTTAAAAACT